CTGCTCTTAAAGTTATTAGGCCAAAAATTACAAAAATCTGTTTACCATGGCAAATAAAAGACTGACATTGCCACAACGCTTAACAATTTAAGTTATTGGATAAACTGTCAATTGAGCTTTGCAGTGTTTAATTAGTAAAAGTGGTTGAGTGGAAAATTTAAGTATTGAAAAAAACCAGTTTTGTTTGAGCCCTTTTAAGAGCATATAACTTCCTAAGGGTGCGTTTTAGGGCACATGTTAATATGAACTTTTTGGCTTATTTTAATGAGTTATAAACGCAGCAGAAGTTTGGAACCCTATTTTAGAAACACCCTGTATTACTGTTTAGAGACGTTTCGAATTGGAAACTCAACATTAGTGTCATATTTTTCTAGAACATTTTTACATTTTGCATTTTTGTACGCAAAGATGAATTTTCCTGAATAGATTTAAAACATTTAAAAAAATTATTTACCTATAGATAACATTTTTTGTTGATAACTAGTGAAAAATTCTTTCCTGTATTTATAGTAAAATGTCAACAATTATTAATTGAAAACAAATTATGTTATTGAGTTATTGTATCCTGTAAAAATATGTAAGCGTAAGTAAACAATCAACACTTTAATGATAAACGTGATGAAATTAGAAACCGTATAGTGATCTAGAACTCTGGAATAACAGTATAATGGTAATAAACGAACCAATATTTTTATAGAATTATCATAAATACAATGATTTTAAACTTTGTCGCTTAATAAATTATTCGTTATCATCTCATATGTATTTAATATTTTTATTTAACTGTTCAATAATTTCAATATCGATAATTAAAAACAAATGTGCTATTTTTCATTCAATCAACGACATCTCGGCAACCAATAGTCTTACGGAGACCTTTAAGAAATCAAATTAAAGCTGAATAAATAAGCTAACTGCCCTCTGTATTAATTGAGTTTGAAATAATTTTTTTGAGTCCATGGAGTCCTAAAAAAATTGTTCTTGAAATGCTTGATAACCGTAGCTCAAAAAAAATTTTTGTCTAAAGATCTTGAAACTAGAGACAAACCTTTAAAACGTTTTTTTTGTTTATCTCGATACAATCATTTTTCACGGCCTTTCGAAAATCACTAAAAAATTAATTAACATTTTTTTGTTTCTTTAATTTTTTCCAGTTAGACGTTGAGCCAGGTAGTCAAAAATGGACAGTTTGGTTTCCCTTCTGGGGAGTAAATGTAACCTACTAATTTAGATTTGTCATGAAGGCAACATGAATGTTTGTGATGATACTTTGTAAAATTCAGTAGCTTAGGGGCGTTACGACCTCACAAAGATGGCTGCCGGGCAAAAATCGTAGTTTATCTTTCTAAAGTCTGGTTCCATTTGTTAGGAGTAAAAGTATAAACATTTTGATTTAGTATAAAGCCAGGATCAATGTTGGGGATGATACTGTGTAAAAGTCGGTAGTTTAGTTACGTTACGATGTCACAAATATGGCCGCCGGACGAAAATCGTAACTTACCGTTCTAAAGTCTGGTTCCATTTGTAAAGAGTAAAAGTATCATAAAAATTTTGATTTAGTATAAAGCCAGGATCAATGTTGGGGACGATACTGTGTAAAAGTCGATAGGTTTAGTTACGTTACGACGTCACAAATATGGCCGCCGGACGCAAATAATGCCATTTTTCTCGAGAATGGTTTTGTGTAGGCAATTTTCTCAAGATACACTTTTTTAAAATAAAACGACCTTTCCAATGTTGCTGCCCGTTTAAAAAAAATAAGACCACTATAAAAGTTTTGATCGTTAAAAGGGAGAGGTAACCGGAGAAAACTACCACCCAGTATATCGATTTGACTAAATCTTTAAGAAATAATACGCCATAATAGTCCAAATAAATGTGCCAAATTTTAACACGATCGGTAAAAGGGTTCTGAAGTTATTAATTAAATTAATTTTATTTTTGACAACTTTGTAGGCCTGTAACTCAAAAATCAAAAAATTTGTATTTAACATTTTTTTCGTAGATCGTATTTATTTATCGTCATGAATATGCAGTCATTATTAAATTATTATAATAATATATTTTATTATTATAATTTTTGCCAATACACCTAAACGGAATTTGGCCGGCGACCTCTTTGTGACGTCATAACGTCACTAAGCTCCCGAATTTTACATGAGGTGAGTTCGGGATGTTCACTCTTTTCACTCTAATCGCTCTAAGCACGCTAAATCCGTTCGAGTATTGACCTCTGAGTAAATAGCGTTAACTTCGTGAGGGTTCGGGTACTGCTTTTGTAGTTTAAAGAGTTCACTCCAAAAGTTCCACCTCTGGGATGAGGAGCTTGAGAGCGGGCATGCGCATTTCCTATTTTTCCCGGCTCTACCGGACGTTTTGTTGATGTTTTCAATTCCTAACCTCAATCTCTCATTCTGCAAATCAAATGATAGAAGCATAATTGTTGCTTCTTCGTCATTCTTCTGTGCATTATTTGATTTGATTATTGACATTATTTCTTATTCTTTGTTTCGCATTTGCATTTGCTGACGTTGTGGTTTGTGCTGTGAGTTTTATTTACATATTGAATAGAATAATGGATGGAACGATGCCCATTATGCATATAACTGGTCAAACGCATTCTCTGGTAGTAGATGAAAGCGGAAATAATATCACAGTGGATGATGTTAACGGCGTTAAAACTGTTTTATTATACAGTAATAATGGTAAGTAAAAATTTTTAGTAATTTTTTCGTTTTGTAAGCAGCCGTAATTTTGTATTTATTTAGACAAAGAAGTCATTACTGTGCCATTAACAGAAGGTATTGCCAAAGAATTTGGACTTCTAGAAGTAAGAAGAGATGGAACCAATCCAAGAGGTACAGAGGAGATTACTTCTCAGACAATTCAAGAGAGCCGCGAAGATTGTGAGCAAATAAAAATTTGGACAACAAATAATACACTTTATTTAATAGAGTGTGTAGAGAAATTTGATAAAGAATTTTCATCTGGAATTAAAAAAAATGTTTGGCAGAGAGTTGCCGAAGCCTGCAAACATCTACACAAACACATAACTGCAAAAAATTGTGAAATAAAATGGAAATCTTTAGTTCGTACATACAAAAGTATTTTACTGAATAATAACACATCTGGACAACGGAAAATGTACTGGGAATATTATGACAGAATGCATTCCATAATGTACAAAAAACCTGAAATAACACCCCCAGCTACCTGCAGTAACTTATCAGGAATGACGATTAAAAGTAAGATTTTTAAGAATACCTAGATATCGATAAGAAAGATATTACCACTTTCCACATTTATTAATAAAATAACTATTGTTTTAGATAAAGAAACCAAACAGCTAATTCAAGTGGAAGAGGAAACAGAGGAAAGTGATAACGCAAAAGAAAATACGAAGTTTGAAAGCTCATTTTCTAAAAAAAGAAAGCAAAAAATTTCTGAAACAGGGAAACGTCACCAGGAAAAGATGCAGAGACTAGACAGATTTAACGACCTATTGGAAATGATGATTAATAAAATGCCAGAAAAGTAAAATGAAAAAACTTTACTCTTCTGGCATTTTGGCTTTAAATATAAAGGTTTTTTTTGTACCTATTTAAATGTTTAGTATACAGGGTGAGTAATAATTAGGTAAACAAAAGTGCCATAGTTATCTGTCGAAACATATTTTTGATCATAGAATATATTGTAAAAGTTTGTTTGCCTAATATGACTCACCTTGTATAGTTAAAGAATTTAGTTTTTGTTTTGTTTCAGAGAATAATAAACTATATTTTTTGTTATAAATAATAATATTGTTTCTTTTTACAATTGCATTATTATGAATCTGTTCTTCATCATTGTCTTCTTCATTGTTCGGCAAATTTTCAAGTTCGTTTCTTCTTTCTTCTTCCAGATCCACATCATTTTCTAGAAAGTCTCCATTTAGAATACAAATATTATGCAATATACATGCACCCATTATATCTAAAACTATTAACTCGGGGCGTACTGTCTCAATATATTTAAGCCTTCTAAATCGACCTTTTAGTAATGCAAATGCGTTTTCAATTGTTACTCTTATTTTACTCAATATAAAGTTAAAATTTCTCTGTCTTACGGTCAAATGACCATTATTTTTAAATCCAACCATTAGATTTATATTGAGTTTATAGGCCAAATCACCAATTAAGTGATAATCGTGATTGTATTGCTTGGTATAATGGTGATCTTCTATATAAAGTGCAATCGTGGATTGAACCTGCTTCACCAGTGTATACATCAGTAAACAAGAAAAAGTATGATATCTAATTAATTAGAGGTTAGAAAACTATATTTGACATCTGTCATCCGTTTGGGTTCTTTTTCTTTTACTCATTTTACTCTACAGTCACGTGACCAGAAATTCATTCTAACTCCACTCCAACACCGCGCCAGCATCCCGAACGTAACTAAGTATCATCCCAAACATTGATCCTGGCTTTATGGTGGATTGACATTTGTATGATACTTTCACTCCTTACAAGTAAAACCAGACTTTAGAATGGTAACGCGTTATGATTCCGAAATCATGAGTAAAAGAAAACAGCCAGCCCAAACATTCATGCTGCCTTCATGACGAATCTAAATTGGTAGGCTACATTTACTCCCGCGGAAGAAAACCGCACATGCTCTCTGGCTCAACGTCTAAGTGGTATACTTTAAGATTTTCTCCCTATAACCAGTTGTTGGCGGCCTTATTAATAGCAATTTCTACCGCCACTAATATTAGATGTTTCTATGTACCTACTCATGTTTAACGTTGCACAACAAAAAGAATGTGTAATAATTGTATTAACATAGATCATACAATTTTTTTGATAGATACATTGATACGACTGATCCATATGAAACCCTATTATATTTTTAAAATCTTAATCTTAAAATACTTTGTTTACTTATTTGTTGTTTTTGTTAACATCTGATTCTATATATTAATTGATTTCACCTTAGAAACCCAGTATTGTTCAAACTGTGTTTGTTTGAGGTTGTTTAATTGTGTCAGATAAAAATTTAATTTCTTTTATCGGTAGAATATAATCCACTGTAGGTTATACTTAAATCTTAATAAGGATTTTTAGAGGATTAAAATATAAAATTTATTGGTGGCAAATTTTGCAATTTGAGAGAATAGTTTCATTTTTTTTTCATACAAATTAAACAAAATATCTAATCAAAATAATAATTATAAGATATACCTATTTCAAAATTTATTCTGAAAAAAAATATTTTCTCTAATCATTTTACCTGTAATTTCATATTTAATTATCAGTTTTCTTTACAAATTTTACAAATTATATTATTGTTTTAGAATTTTCTGCATGAAGCAGGGGGGTTTTCACATTATTAGTCTGAACAGGTAATGGACGGTGGTTTAAAAAAAGTCAGAAAACCGAATCCAAGAGAAAATGCATTCCTTTTATCTGCAGCTACTTTCTGGTAAGTTTATTTTTACTTTTATTATATCACAAAAGAATTTTCGTTCATTCTACTGTATTGATAACTAAAAGGCGTAAGCGTAGGTGCTTTGTAGAAATTACAAAATGATATTCCCAAAAAGAAAAAAAAATGTAGGTGGTTAAATTCTACATCTGCTATTCCAAGAGATATCTTGATCTGATAGATAGATACCGATCAGTGACCCTATTACATAAAAATGATACATACTTTAAAATACTTCAAATGCTTGATTATGATATTGTTGCATTACTACCAGACAAAGCAATTACCTATGAAATAAAATACATTAATTAAATTATACATATATGTCTTTATACTGTTATTTATAAAGTGTACCTAGAGCCAAAATTAAGTACCTACCGATTAAAACTAATTACGTGTCACTAGTTCAATTTAGTTCCAAATAAATTCCTAGGTAATTTTAAGAAAGCTGCGTAGAAACATACACATAATGTTGTATAATGCCCTCTTCTTCTTTTTTATTATTATTGTATAACGTTATATCTTATATACGGTTCATTCCTTTTTCTTAAATTTTTATCACAAATCCTGATGTGAAGGCAGAAATTAAAATTGAATCGCGCACCAGTGGCGTGCCTGTGGAAGTCGTATGGTACAATTTATAAAATCGTGTATTTTGTTTCTCTTAAGCTGAAAAAATATTAGAGATATGTTCGCTGCTAAGAATTACAAAAAATAAGTCTTTGTATTTTTCTTGAAATATGGTTTACATTTATGAAAAAAATATCAGTGGACATTTGAGAAAACAATATCAAAAGTTTTGATTATTTTTTTTACCGAAAAAGAAGTTTTGAAAAAATCTTTTGAATAAATTATTTAAAAAAGAAGGAGGTTTGAAAAAAACTGTTCTTTGAAACATAAGTAGACCTAAAAAATATCGAAAAGGATGAAATTCAACTTGGGGTATCAACTACATTTAATGCAATTAAATAGAGATTAGTATAATTAATGCTGAATCGGGTCAAAATAATTTTTTGAATATTTATTTTTTTTCAATTTAAACGATATCTAATATAAAATTGTGGACAAAGTCGAGAAAAATTCTTTTTCACTTTGATAACGATTACATTATGTTTAGGAGCAATAAACGTGTCCCTTTCATTCTTTCCAAAACTTTGATCATTTGGAACAGAAAAGCGGTTCTATGGATCAACTTGTCAATCTACAGGCTTATTGTGGATACATTGAGCTGTAAAAATTTCTCTCAACATTAGTATTTTATGAATATTTGTAAATTAGCGGTAGATTTTCCAAAAATGTGTAATAATTTTTTTCGCACTTTTTTTAATTCGGATGAAAAAAAAATTATTCGAAAACCATGATAGGTCCTTGTAGAGAATTTATTCAGTTTTTCAAAACCGCTCTTGTATTTACTGTGCAACAATTTGTTACCGAGATCGATGATTAAAGACAATAGTGTCATTTTTCATTCAACCATCGATATCTCGGTAACTATAATAGTTATACAGAGACCTTTGAAAAAGCAAATTGAAGCTGAATAAACAAGCTAACTGACCTCTGCTTGATTGAATCCGAAATAAATTTCATGGACAGTCCAAAAATAATTGAAATTTTTTTTCTCAAAGTATTTTTAAGTAAGTATTTTTTTTGTTAAAACATATTGAACCTAAAGACTTAGAGCTACAGCTTTTTATCTACGACGTGATCATTTCTCACTGAGGATACAACCTTTTAAAAATCACTAAAAAATTTACGAAATTTTTATGTTCTCTTAATTTTTTTCAGTACTTTGGATATAAATATTTGCCCAAATTTTTTAAATACAAGGTGTGGAATGTTTAAAAGAGAATATGTTATGCGAGACGACGTATTGAAAAGTTTATCGATGCACAGGAATGTCACTTCGTATATATTTTGTGAAATTTTAATACATTCTACATCTATAATACATCCATATCGCCTTTAAAATTGGTTATTTGCACAAGTAAGTGCGATAAAAACTGCACAAAATTTAGTATGATTCATAGCTACACCACTGATTTAAACTGAGAATTAATAATTTCGTGTTGAATGTAATTTTTATTCATGTATTGTCACAAAATTGTCGTTGCAATAATGATATGTTAATTTGTTGGGAAAATACTTAAATATATTTTTTAAAACCTCAATACCCTGTATCTCAAAAACTAAGATTTTATACATGTACAATGTATCAGGATTGACGGTATAAAATGATATTTGGATGTTATAGGTAAAACTGTGATTTTTTTCTCCTGTGAACATGGTTCCTAAAAAGCACCCCTTCCAAACTATAGTCCTTTTAAAGTTAAAATACCGAGTTTTCTTGATTACCCGTTAATGATAAGTCAAAACTGAATTAAACTTTGCAAGTTTTTTTTGTGTATGCTTTACTCAATCACACAAAATAAATTAAAAAATCGAAAGTGGTTTTACATGAGCCTTGCGCCTTTTTAACTACTTATGACTTGAAAAGAGAAATAAAACAAGACATGAGAAGAATAAAACTTGCAAATACAAAAAAAATGTTTTTGACATTACATTTTTTCATTTTTTCGCTTGTTAAATTAGGTTACGATATGCAAAAAATTACTATTGATTAAATCTATTTTCCATTTTCTTTTCTATTTCTATCTATTTTCTTAAAGTTAAGCAAATATAGGCTGTGATGGTTTGAAATCCATTTATTTATCCTTTATCGAGTTACCTCAACTGTTAGTATTTGTTCTGCGGAAACAAATGACTTTAAATAACACAAAAAATAAATTTCAAGTGGATTACACTCTGGAGGTTAAGGCAGCCAAGCTACTGGTTCTCTTCTAACAACCCACCTATCGCGATATTGTTTATCTATTTACTTTCGATATTCCCTGGCATTAATTCTAAAATGTGCTATCACACTATCTTCCAGATATCATGTCTGGCATACTCTTAAAGACTTATCTTCTAATAGAATTTTTTAGAACATTCAGGTAATTTTCTTCATTTAGTATGGGTGGCAGAAAAAATGAATACCTTCACACTGAACTGCTGTTTATACCATGCCAGCAACCTCCTGTAAAATCACCAACGACTTTTTCCTAGTTCAGAATTATATAGAGCAATTGTGATTTCTTATATTTACTCACGGTTGGCACCCAAATAACTGACTTTTGGACATAAGTATTTAATAATTAGGACTTACGTTGTCAAAGAATGGCTAAATAAATTTTAGGCATCCTTTATTATATCACATAGTCAAATGTGAATTAACCATAAAATAATATTGATATTTGGCCACTGTCTATCCCTGAATGCTTAGATTTGTACTGTCGTGACAGGAAAATCGTTCGCCCTTATTGATTTTGTAAAAAATGCGTATACCCTCTTGGTAGGTAGTTTACCAAACATTCGTATTACGTCTTATTGTTTAATCTTTTGATTATCTATAGTAAAACTAATTATTAAATATCACAAGTTTTATAATAGTAGTAATAAATAAGGAAAATTTAACGAAATTGGCCTTTCCAAATTAAAGTATCTCTTAGGTAATTCTTATCAATCTTTATCTGTTTTCAATCAAATATTGTTTCAAACAAACAATTTTTTTCCATTTTCAATCTCATTTTTGTCGCATTAGATGATTTACTATTAAGGAACCTCCTTAATTTAAAATTTAAGTTATATACACAGACAATATAGCTTATGGCGATAGCTATTTTGTCTGTGTTAGATGGTAGCTTAATCCAGTTTTGGGATGGGAATGACTAAATGAACATTTTGAATTTTGTTGTATAGGGTGAAACATTGCTTTGATTGTGTGGCCGCCTACATCCCCAGATTTGTTGCCACTTTTTTCTTTAGGTTTTACCGAAAGAAAAAGTTTACAAATCAAGACCACAAACTGTACAAGAACCACGGGCTAATATGATGTTAGACTTTAATTTTACTTCATTTTTTTTTCTAGTGTGGTTGGTAGTTTGCTGTTTTCACGATTGATTTTTGTTTTGGAATTTGGTTCAAATATAAATTATTTAAATTGTCGTTAAGGAGCAACGGAAAAAACTCTTACTAATTTCATTTTGTCACAGGAAAATTTTTTTTACACTCACAATTCTAAAAATTAATTAAGCCATGAAATTTCTCTTTTGAAATTCTTTAAAATAAATTGTTCTGACATGGCTAAACAAAAATGATTGCTATTCCTGTTTTACTTGACACATTGCAAACAATAAGCAATAAAGCTATGAAACAATAAAAACATAAACGTTGGATATGCATAGGTATCTCTATTTATGGTTCAATAACTGATTTATCTGTTGTCTTGGTTATCTAAGAGCAATAAAAGCAAAAATAACAATAGCGGCTGATATTTTTGTCTGCTTCCACCGACTCCTGCTTTGAAGAAATAATAAAAGTAGTGAAAAGTAATTTACAATTAATAACAAGTACATACTTATTATGTACCTATCAAACACAATGACGTCTTAGTTACTAAAACTGGTTTTATTACATTTAACCAGTTTTGACCTTCTAAAATTAGTTTTGTGGAACCGTTCTATGTTCCCAAAAATTTACAAATTACTCAAATTAAAGGTTGCGAACTTTTAAACCATCCATCAACAATAAAAAACTATAACATCAGTGACGGAATTTCTCCATTTTAAAATACTTTAATTCAGTTTTAACTATTACACCGACACACAAAAAAAGTGGTCTGTATCTTTGATGTGACCAAATAGGCTTTATGTATTTTGACGTGCTGAATACTCAAATTTTGAGTAATTGGCAAAAAATAGTGAAAAATCGCCGAAGATCATGTTAATGAGCGCAAAAAAATCTAAAAAAATTGTTCTGAACTTAATCAAATAGGTTTCTTATATATTTTGATGTGCTGAATCTAAATCTGAAACATCCCTCTTCAGATTTTGCAAAAATTGCAAAGAAATAGCGAAAATTCATCAAAAATAGCGGAAATTTACAGACAGTGTTAGAGAAAA